AGGAGAAAGGAAGGGAAGGAAGGAGGGAAGGAGGGAGGGAAGGAAAGGGAGTGGGAGGGAAGAAACAAGGGAAGGAAAGATGGAGGGAGGGAAGAAGATACCTAACCTTTGATGTCTATAATGATTTTGATATTATGGGAATGTCTCGAAACGTAGTCAAACGTAAAGCAAAACAGGGGATGTTGTATTGTCTTTTACCAGCTATTGGTTGTTGTATTTTTCTTTTACTAATATAAATAAATAAATAAATAAAATAAAAAAAGAAATTTCAGCTGGCATTGCTGTTCCAACGGGCACCCCTCCCCCCCCAAGTTTGACTACTGGCTCCATTTCCACTTTTAGGTTGTGGTCGGGGAACCCAGAAGTTTTCTCAAGACTCCGCTAGAACGGCTCGCCTCCAGAGGTTATGGGTGCTCCATCATTGGGGTTTTTTTAAGAAGAGATGGGACAGGCATTTGTCTGAAATGGTAGAGGGTCTTCTTCTTGATCAGGGGGTTGGACAGAAGAAGGAAGCTCCCTTCCAACTCTGTTATTCTGCTAGAAGGAAGTAGAACGTTCCTCGACATTAGGAGTAACTCCCAACTGAAGATGTTGGGCAGATGAATAGTTTGCTTGGGGAGCCACGGGGACAGGACATGGATCACCCTCTGAAACCTCCCCCTAGATGAACCTTAAGGCTGGACAAAATGTCCCCCAGGACCTGTGATTTTCCTCCCAAATCCCCGTCACCCTTTGAGAATCTCCCTGTTCCTTCTGCCCTTCAATTCCACAAGGCCAAATCTCGGTTGCCCAGAGTCCACTATTTTCTCAGTGAAGGAGGGACGTGATGCTCGATTAACAAATGGGTCTGCCCCCCCCCCCCCCGGTAATCTGAGGAATTTATTTGCCTGGGACAGTGTGTTAGCCCCATACCTGATAACCCATCATTTTAATTGCTTTCCTGAAAGCACAGCTGACAGGCCCGTGAGGCCATCGGCTTACCATCCCTGGACTGCTGGGAGAAACCGATCCTCAACGCTCCTTTTGGTCCTGAGGGATGTTGAGCCTGGGATCCAAAAAGGCAACACGAGGAGTCTAAGATGAAGACTTCCCAGTAGCCCACTTCAAGTTTGCTTCCTCCAGCTTTCCAGATGGGTTGTTTGGCGTATTTGGAAGTCCTTAGAAGATTCCTGAGCAATAGTGTCTTTTCCTGGACAGCATTGAAGCTACCCCCCTTTCTGATCTACCTCAAAAGTCACTAAGAAATCTAAAGTCAGCCAGCTGATGTGGAGGTTGGCATTAACGGTGGCCGTGCATAATATTGCCCCATGGAATTCAAATTCTCCACTCCAACTCTGTGCAGTGGGAAAGGATGCGCCGCCCTCCTTGATGTGAGAGAAACCTGAATGTGAGATGGACTCATCCCATGAGGAGGGATCCTTTCTTCTCCAAAGACTTTGGCTTGGCAGCCGGTATTGCTCTAAGACAGTGTTTCTCAACCTTGTCCACTTGAAGATGTCTGGACTTCAACTCCCAGAATTCCCCAGCCATTGAAGTCCCCCAGACTTAAAGTGGCCAAGATTGGAGAGCCCTGCTTTAGAAGTCTCAGCTAGTCATTCTTTGCTAGTCATTAATAAATAAAATAAAATAAATAAAATAAAATAAATGAACATTTGTAGTCGTAGCCAAAACCATTGCCTAAGTCTGGACAATTTGCCCAGCCCAACACAAGCTGGTAGACCACAAGATTGAGTCACTCCAATGTTGAGTAATATAGGTAGCCCTCGACTTACAACAATTCATTTTGTGCCCATTCAAAGTGACCACGGGNTTTAAATCATTCCTGATCTTAAGCATAGGCTATCTGGAATTTCTTAGGGGTCAGCCTTTCTGGGAGGGGGGGGGCCCTGGAAGGTTGTCCAGGACGCCATGCCTGCCCTCCTTTCCGTCTCTTTCTCTTTAGGCAAGTTCCCAGCCTCCATTCAGAAAGCTCCTATTGATCCCAAGCCAAATTAGCATTTTCCCCCTGCTGGAAGCCCAGCAGCTCCTGGGGCTTCCAGACAAAGGCTCTTCAGGGAAGGGCCGCCTTCGAAAGGGGTAAATTACAGCTCTTCTGTTCCCCTTTCACGGCTCCTGTCTAAGCAAAGCCGGTGGCCTAGTTGTGACACCAGCTATAAGATTGCAGAGCAAGCAGCTTTAATGGCTGCAGGGGAGCGAGATCCGTGTTTGCCAAAGGCATGAAATTCCCCAGGGCCTGGAGAGGCAGGAACAGGGCTCAGTGCCACTGGTTCATGGTGGAGAGAGCCCTCCGTGGAAGCAGCCACTTCGGCTCGCTGCCCAGGCCATCCAGGGCCTGGCAATAGGTCTTCTAGCCCATCGTCCTGCACAAGCAGGAGATACCACTCCGGACAAATGGCTGTCCAGGTTCTTCTTAAAAACTCCCGTGATGGAGAACCCACAACTTCTGAAGGCAAGCCCTTCTATTGGTTCTCACGGTCAGGAAATTCCTCCTTAGTTCTAGGTTGCTTGTCTCCTTTGGTTAGCTCTCATCTGTGGTTTCTTGTCCTGCCTTCTGCTGCTTTGGAAAATAAGTTGACTCCTTCTTCTTTCTGGCAGCCCCTCAAATATTGGAAGGCTGCCATTGTGTGCAGCATGATATGACCAGAACTGACCGAGAACCTTTTGAAGACTTCTCCAAAGATGTCCATGCTGGTGGCCACTTTGCAAAATGGCTCTTTGAAAGTATCTGGCTTGAGACGGCCGGTTGGTTTAGGCTCGACGGAGAGCTGCATTTTTCAATTTCCAACTTTTTATCATTTTTTTAAAAAAATGCATGATAAAACTCACATGTCCCCCAACCCCCAATGACTCTTAGTTCAATCATGCAGTCCTGGACCCACCTCTTTCCCCCCCAAGGCAAGTTAAATTTCTGCACCCCAGTAGGATGGATCTGAGCTTCATTTCAATGATTCTGTCCTCCTGAGTGCAGAAGAGACCACGATGACACTTAAAGCACAATTTTCCTGTTCTTTATGCCTCCTCCCCACAGAGGGCCCCGCATGGGGTTCTTCTTTAAGACCGATCCTCTGCAACATTGTGCAGAACGAATGGCCAATTACTCTGGAGACAACAGAAGAGGAGGACCTGAATCTGGGAGAAGGGAAAAGTGTGTGACTTGCCCAGGCTCAATCCCCCCCCCAAAGGCTTGCAAATTGAGCTCAACCGTCCCCCAGTGCCCAGATGGACTAANAAGATCTTGAACTTTCAACTGGGTGGGGAAAACCGGGAAGCCTTCAGATTCGGGTTTTCCCAGATGTGCCAACAGGGCTCTCTTAATAAATTGAGGAATGCTTTGCCTCGGAGTCTGATTTAATTTCGGATGTCATTTGGAACCCTGACACCTGGCCCAGTGCATACATCTTAGGGAGAGCTGTTTGGGGCTCCCCACTTTTGAGGAGTGAAGTGCCCCCAGTCTTCAGGGTTGGTTTTTTTTTTTAGTTCTGATCTCAAATGGTGGGATAGGTCCCTTCAAAATTCAGAGTATCTTCCTTCTTATTACGAGCCATGGTGGCACAGTGGTTAGAATGGAGTACTGCAGGTTGCTTCTGCTGGCTGCCTGCAATTTGGCAGTTCAAATCTCAGGCGGCTCAAGATTAACTCAGCCTTCCATCCTTCTGAGGTGGGTAAAAGGAGGGCCCATATTGTTGGGGGAAATATACTGGCTTAGAGAGGGCTGTAAAAGCACTGTGAAATGGAATAAAAGTCTATGTGCTATGGCTATGGCTATGATGCCAAGGAATTTGGCCCCTGAGATGACGTGTTCTGGCGGTCATTTTTTCATTGGAAGGGGTCACTTATTGGAGGCACCCTGGGCAGTGGCTTCCATTGTTGGGGGGTTCTATCATTCAACACCGTCCTGTGGTGGCCATATAAATTATGTCAACAAGAAAGTTCTTTCCAGAAACGGGTTAAAACGGAGCTTTCCTGGAGAGTTTGCAGTTTAACTCGGATGGGGCATCTGCGTCAGAGTTTTGCTCTTGCTTTGAGTATTATTTACTGTGCCTGTTTTAATTCTGTTGTTGACCATCCAGAGTCTTTAGGGATTACCAAATCAATCAATCAGGGAATGGATAAAATAGCCCACAACATCGTTAATCCACTACCAAATTTTTTGATGTCCATTACTGAGTTTATTTCCGCTGCGGCCCTCTGGTTCTGCTATTCTTCCATGGTCTTCAGGTTGTTTACGAAATTGATTCTTCTGGGCTGTCTGGTGTGAGGACTTTAATCATAAGTTGTGTCCTCCTTGGGAGGAGGAGGAGGACCCCTGTGGAAAACAAGGAGTGGGGTCAAGGAATGGAGATTTACACACCCACACATACACACACAGCCCCTACGCATCTCTCTGCTGGTTAGCCCGTCCTGTTGAGTTGAGCCTTCACTTCTGGTTGTTGTTGAACCTGGATAAATGGTGGGCAACCTCTGGCTCCCCCTTCACCTGCGTTGGCCAGGCCTCTCGTCCTCCTTCCTCTACCTTGCCGTGACCCACAACGCAGGACCTGGCATTTGGCTCAAAGCCCAGAAAGGGCAGTCCTGGCCAATCTCCCCTTGTCAGCCACCCATCCAGATGCTGGGATTGAGGGGGAGAGGGGGGGGTCAGCCTTTCTTCATGTTAAAATGTTTTTATTTTCCATTTTTCATTTTCATACACTCACATATATANAGATGTCCGGACTTCAACTCCCAGAATTCCCCAGCCAGCGAATGCTGGCTGGGGAATTCTGGGAGTTGAAGTCCAGACATCTTCAAGTGGCCAAGGTTGAGAAACACTGCCTTAGGGTTTCTGACTTGGGTCGTTTGCTTGCAGATGTCACTCAACTCAGTCCCGGTGAGAAAAGGTGATCTAAATCCAGGCCCTTGGCAACAGGCAGGGGTTCACAATGGTTGCAGCACCCTGGGGTCATCGGATTGCCATTGGTTACCTCCCCAGCCTGCTTCCAACAAGCAAAGTCAATTGGAGATGCCGGATTTGCTTCACAACTGTGTGACTCACTTAACAACCACACTGACTGACTTCATAGAAAATGTCATGAAATCGGGCAGGACGCCATTAGCAATGGGAATTCTGGTTCCAACCCTGTCAAGCCAAGAGGACTTTCCATACTCCCCAACGTTGTCACCAAATGCAGGGACAGGTTTCTAACACCTCCCTTTGGGGTGAACATCTTTTGGGAAGGACTAAAAAAGAATCTCTGGGCCACCAGCTGAGGACCAACAGAGCAACTCAGCTGAGGGCCAACTCAGTTGCTCCTCAGCTAGTGGCTCAGAGATTCCTTTTTAGGTAGGGCAAATTTGGGGCTTGAGTGATTTAGACGACAGGAACAATCCACCTCATTGAAGGTCATGGATCCCAAGTGCTTCTCCCCCGATCCAGAAGATCAAGGTCATCTTGAGGAGGATGTGTTATCTGAGCCCCAGGGAGATCTTGGAGCAGCTTCTGAGGGACCTTTAGAAACTTCTGAATCTCAGAACATTTTCAGATATTGATTATTGCAGCTATAAAACCGAAATGAACAGCATTGTTCCATCTTCTAATCTACAAATTGCTTCCTGTGACTGTAGTTTTTGTTCTGTCTCTACCTCCCACTCAGTGGTGGGTTCCTACCGGCGTTGGTACCGGTATGCCTCATGCACGCCAGAAGCGTGTTGCTTGCGCATGCACAGTTCACTGTAAATTGTCCTGCGCATGTGCAAAGACCATGAAAAGCTAATTTTAAAAAAAGCCAGCAATGGCAGCGGAGGACGAGGAACCAGTTCAAGGGCGTGGCCAGCCTGAGTCGCTGCCGGTTCTGCGACGCAGGCCAAATTACCACTACCAGTTCACCCGGTTCTATGAGCGCTAAGGTGGAAGATGCCAAACTTTTAACCAGATGCCTCAGAGGTCCTTTTCTTGGGCTCCTGTCCCTATTGGGACACAGTTATATCCAAGGAAGGTGGGAGAATCTTGATTACTGGAATAAAATGGGGGCTTACAGAATGGGCCCTGGAGTTGGAGGCATGCAACTGTCCTATTCTGGGGCAGTAAAAGCAGGCAACCTCCTTGCCACCTTAACTGGAGTTTTCTCAGAGCATTTGTTTGCAAGGCCCAGATAATTTCCTTTTTTTTTTTTTTCTCCGAGTTAGCAAAAGGGAGAGCAAAACTTATTCTAATCATCTAAGAGAACATTAGTACTAATATTCACATTAGCATCAGTGTTATCGGCCTGATGTTTATGCAAATCCTTAGCGTGCTTCATTATTTAGCTGAGGCCTGGAGCTCAGCTTGGTGTTCCGAACCAGAGCAGCGCTATCCTTCCAGACGTCTCCAAGGATGCAGCCTGGGGCTCAGTTGGTTAGGAAGATCCGGGGTTCAACCCAGCTCGGCAGTTTCCTTTCAAGGAAGAAGTCATTTCCAGATCCCCTTTGATGGGAGGCTTAGCTCAAGGATCAGCCAGCCACGGAGCAGATCGACAGCAGTCGGACTGTGGGGATATAATGAATCTTAGATAGTATCTGTTATCCCCGTAATCCTTTCTGATCCCCCGATTCACAGCAAAGCCTTAACGTTTGCTGAGTTTCCTGAAGCTTCCCCCCCCTATAAATTGGATTCTGCCTGTGGCAGCAGGTACCCTACCTTCTTCCCACCTGTCTTATGTTGGCTGAAGGTGGCCTGCAGTTTGCCCACCCCCTACTCCCCCAACAAAAGGCAGGGTGGAAGATGCCTCTGAACCACTCGGCTAATAACCAAACCCAGAGAGAGTCCCGAAGGCTCTCCTCAGCCCATTATCTGCTAGGAAGCTGATGGTATTGATTAATAATTATTTCAGTTCAGGTGCACCTTGAGGTCATTTGATCCCAGGATTGAGCTGTTCCACTTCTGATGGCCACTGGGTTAAGGTTTAATACCTTTTCTTTTTGATAATAGCTTAATGCAGATGCTTGAAGATGCGTGGATTTCAACTCTCGGAATTGCCCAGTCAGCCGGCTGGGGAATTCTGGGAGTTGAAGTCCACGCAGCTTCATGCTCTCAAGGTTGAGAAACACTGGCTTCAAGTGTTTTGTTGCACTCCCTGCCTCACACAATGGACCCTTAAGTGGAGATGTCAGGCATGGAACTAGTTTAAAGATGTATCCATGGGTTATTGAACTCACGCTATGGGCTGGCCATCTATGTTTTATGCGTTTGATGAGGAAGCCCCCTGGAAATCCGACAGCCGTGGGCCTTGACCCAGATGTCAATGGCACATCAGTAGAGGAAACTGTACGGGGAGAGTCTGTGATGTTGACCATGAGTCCAGCAAGCGGGTCAAGAAAACTGGTTGGCCTTAACTGATCTAGAAAGCCAAGTTGGGTTCCTAGGATGGGGGTCCACCAAAAATATCCACAGTTGGAAGCTCTAGTGAAGAGATTAAAAACCAGAAGAAGACAACTCTCTTCCGTGTCTTGCCAGGAGAACAATCTGGACACGGAATCACTAACTGGACTTGAAGGAGCTTTTCTCCTTAGCGCTCCATTCCTAGTCTGCATTCTCTAACCAAGAGCCCAGAATGAACAGAGACCACCTGATCTCTCCCTGAAAGCCCCATACAGGTGTTTCCCTGGAGGAAGCAGCCTCCTCTGGCTGGATCTGTCCCCCAATTTGGCCAAAGGCTTCCCTCCTCCTCCTCCTCCTCACCACCCCCCTTTCTGCTCTCTCCACAGGTATGCGCATTCTTGTCACCCTGCTCCTAGACACTCTGCCTATGTTAGGCAACGTTCTTCTCTTGTGTTTCTTTGTCTTTTTCATCTTTGGCATCGTGGGTGTCCAGCTGTGGGCCGGGCTGCTGAGGAACAGGTGTTTCCTGGATTCCCACATTCAAAGGTAAGTTTTCCAAAGGTGACCCTTTCCCGCCCTCTCCTCGCACCCAGCCCTACAGTTGCTAGGCTCAGGCAGCCGATTCTGCCCGTCACCCAGCAACTGCAAAGAGTTCCTTTAATATAGTCTTGGCTTTTGCTGATAAAGGAGGAGGAGGAGGAGGAGGAGGAAGAGAAGAGGAGGAGGAGGAGGAGGAAGAGAGGAGGAGGAAGAGAGGAGGAGGAAGAGAGGAAGAGGAGGAGGAGGAGGAGGAGGAAGNGCTGGCTGGGGAATTCTGGGAGTTGAAGTCCAGACATCTTCAAGTGGACAAGGTTGACAAACACTGCTCTAAGAGCAGCAGATTCCAGCAGTGGTTGCTCCAGAGCTGTCAATCATATTGCTAGAGAAGGACTCTGGAGTGGGACACCCCTGCAGCTTTCAAATCTATCCTGGGCTGTCGTTTCCTGAAAGTTCTCTGCCCGCCCCCCCAGAGGACCGGATTAAAAATTAATGCACGTTGGATTCAGGAGGGGCCTTAGGAGAAACGTATTGATGGGGAATCAGTTCAGTTACAGAACCATCTGGGAGCAGGATGAGCTCCCTTTGGCTGAAATCTCCCTGCTTCTAAGAGAAGAGGGGGGGCATGGACAACATCCAGGACATCTGGAGAAGATGGATGGATGCCAGGCTGGTCTAGCAAGAGTCCAAGAACGTCCCTAAGCCACGAGCTGGAGTCTTGCTGGAGCAATTGTGCTAACTCAACTTGGCAGGCTTCTGTGGAATGAAAATCAGGCAGTTCAACCGCCTCCCTTGACACAGATGATGGCATGCTCCTTGCGGGAGTTTCAGCTGGTGAAGAGGGGGCAATACACCCACCTACTTATCTCCTTTGTTGGGTCCTCCGTGGTAGAAGGTCTCCCTGGGCAACATGTCTTCTTCATAGGAACTGTCCTCTGGGCTGAAAACCCAGGAATTTTCTCTCACTGACTGAGAAAACACCTTAAGTCAACCTTTTGCTGAACATGGTGGGGGTTGCCTCGGGTTTGCAGAGGACATTAAGCCATAAATCCTGGTTTACACACTACAGCGATAGGCGGGCGGCCACCTAACTAACCTCACAACTGTTTTAAAAAGGAACAATAACCTTGTCCTTCTTCCAAAGGTCCCTGTTGGAGACACAACCACTTTTATTGACAATCTAAAATAGCGCCATCATGTTCCCATGAATGTTAAGTGTTTTTTTGTTGCCAGCGCCCTAAAGTTTTGACCTCAGCTACCGGAGGGAACATGATTTAAAGCAGGCTATAAACTGCAATGTTTAGGAAGGTGTGCTGGAGCAATTTCCTTGTCACTTGTAAATAGGAGATGGATGCGTTTCATTCGGCAGTGATAGCAATCTAAGGAGGTAGCAGGAGCCTCATTGGCCAAGCCAAGACAGGCCTGATAGAAGCAATGCAGCCAATCCTTTTTGTAATTTCCTTTGCCAAACTGGCTGACTCTCTCTAAAATGTTTTCAAGCCTTCAGCATTATGGCATGCAAGAAAGCTGCAGTCGGGCAAATCCTGGTCTTATTGCTGGTCTACATCTGCTGGCTGGGGATTATGGGAGCTGTAGGTCCATGCCATCCAGAGATCCAAGGTTTCAATGACTATTACAAGTATTTCTTTCTGTTATCGGATAACAACGGCTATGAAATTTATATAATGGCCCTTCTGGTAGGTTGTGTGAAGTCAAGAGCCTGATCCAGCAAGGGGGAGGGGGCAACCCACCAGGCATTTCTCCCCCACAGGCTAACTGAAATGTCAGAATGGAGCCCGGTGTACAAGCAGAGGGCAGAGGTGGAATCAGGGTTGGCAATTCCACCATTCCAGCTACTACTGAGCCTCCCTCTTTGATTGCAGTGGCAAAGATTCAAAGAGAGGGTGGCCTGTTCCTCCCCCCCAAGTTATTCATCCAGAGTTGCAATGTATCATGGGAAGGGGACCTTACCAATGTCCAATCAAATGGCCAACTGCACGATGGCAAATTCCCATTGGGATCATCCAGTTGGGATGGCTTTCCCACCTGACGGCTGGCCTGGTGCTGTCCGAGGTGCTGAAGCCTTCGCAGCCACTGGAGACCTTCTGTGTCTCCCTTTGAAGACATCTTTGCCATGGAGATCTTCATTTGATATCAGGCTTGGATCTTCCGATGTTGAGGAATAATAAACCTGACTTGTCTGTAGCCAGGCAGAATAATTTATCTTGCTGCTTCAACCTTCAAAGAAACTTGACCCAGAATTCTTTATAGGGATTTAGAGTGTATCTGCCATTTATTATTTCTATATCTCTGTTTCCTTTTATCTCGCCGTCTATTTGTCATTATTTTTCCACCGGGGAAAATGCCTTGCCCCTGTACATGCGCCTGTTGCTCAGAGCTGTGGTGGTTGGTTTTCCAACTTGACCTCCCTCAGATTCTGCTGCGTTTTCCATCCTTCCCCATTGACCAGCTGGAAGAAGGGCCTGGAGTTAAGCTTAGCCTTCCTGCTCTTGCCTTTGGCTCTCCAAGGGACAGCTCAATGCTCTGCTCCTGCTTCTGGCCAGTTCATTTATCCAGCCCACAAAACACATCCTCAAATTTGTTTGCTGCCTTTTCCTTTCTCTGTCCTGCTTCTTGATCGCTAGATTCCCTCGGCTCTGGACGATTGTCCTGAAAGCTGATGAGATGAAATGGAAAGGGAGGCATGTGCTGAAGAATGGAAAACAGAGAAGCTGTGTAGTTGGCTGGAGGAACTCTTTCAAGCTATTTCCCCTCTGCCTATGGGCCTCTTTTTATCTCCTTCTTCTTCAAAGTTAGGGTCCTTTCTCTTCCCAGCATTCCCTGCTTCTTCCCATCCTCCATGGAGGCATATTCCGAGTTACGTCCTAGGGTAGATCTCTCTGCTCCTGCTTGGCTGATCCACACATGGTATTTCTCTCCAACCAATTGGCTTCCAGCCTCCGCCTCCTCCTCCTCCTCCTCCT